GCCTTAACTCTTCGCTTCTTAATTCCTAAATGTCTTTCTTTTTTCCTCGTTTTCCCTTCACCTCCCTACACAGAAACAACGTCTACTCACCAGCTTGGCAGAAGGTGCCAGATCCGCGTGAACGTGTTCAATTAAAGAAGGTCCTGACTTCAACCCAACAGCCCTGGTTTTTCGTAGGCAAATAAAGATGGTTAGTAACAACACAGACAACACCAGAAAATAACGCGCTAGCTAACTAACAACAACAGTACATTCACCTTCTTGTTCTCTTCACTCCCTCGGATAAAATCAGTCCAACATTCGCTGGATTGGTCAAGGACTTCTGAAGTTCCCGGAGGTATTTTCCAGCGTCCTGGAAAAATCATTAATCGCATTTACTTAATACTATTTCGTTTTAATGTACCGGCTTCCGCAGTTAGTAGTAGGAGGATACAGAAGCCATAACGAAGACCTATACTTCTGGATAATAAGCACGGTGAAATTGTCGTCACCCAAAATGCTAGTATTTATCAATACACCTAGGAAATAACCCTATGACTCCTTCGAGTGAATAGCATTACATTTGTTACATTTCTTTCCTTACAATGTCACCCCAAAATCACACCTTAAGGTCACAAGAATAAAGGAAATGATCGCCAACTAAAGAAGCTCTTGATTGATAAACAAACTCTCCTTATCAGCACCTTGGGAAATGTACAGAGAACAGTATGGAGAATATGCATATTGACGTTGAGGGGCAAGGGTCCGAGAGGCAACCACTATTGTAAAGTGGGATTCACTGACTCGGCCAGGGGTTAAACATCAGCCTGCTGATTTAATATCTGTCGTACTAACCACTACGCTACCGCTTCTCATTAAAAACAAAAACTATCCTAAGATTCTCATATCTTAAAGAGTTTTGTCGAGTAAAACATTATGCATAAAAGACCTATGCGGAACTAGTGCAAGCTTACCTGAAGGCCAGTCAAGGAGACAAACAACCTCAAAATGTCATTGGTACCTTCGAATATTCTGAAAATTCTAAGGTCACGCATGACACGTTCAGCTCCACAATCCTAAAAAATGTCAAACGAGAGAAAGAATTGGTTGAAGTGCCTTGGAAAGTTCCAGAGACCTGTTCTTCTTTTGCAATACACGATAATGCTGAAGATCATTGGTCGGAAGAAAACTCACCTTCATGTAACCCATTCCCCCAAGAATCTGAATGCACTCATCTGCCACGAACCATGCTGCTTCCTGGAAAGAGAGAATTTTCTGAATCAGGGCGGGGCCCAATTTGTCTCTCTTCTGACATTGTTGCTGTCTGTAGTTGGGTAGGTTAGGTCTTGGTGCCGAGTAACCCTCAACTAGTGTACTACTGCCTAACCACGGTTTCATTAGCATGAAGAAACTGTGGGGGTATGTTTACCCGTCAGACAGGATGCTTGTGCATCCGAGAGAAACTTTGCAGCATTTCTTTAAGTTCCTTGACAGTTCGACGGCACTAATTAATATTACTGGACCCAGTTGCTCAAAGGCCGATTAGCACTAACCCAGGGTTAAATTTTAATCTAGGTTTCTCTGTTTCTCTGTTCAAAAGCCGTTTTGGGCTAATTGTCCCAATTCTTTCTAAAGCAATCAGTAATCATATTGTAGACGCATAGAATTAAACTGAATTTTCTTTGAAAGCTTTCAGATCTAAAATCAAATTTCACACTAACGCTGGGCTATCTTAACCCACCTTTGAACAATCCGGCCCCAGAAGGAGAGAGAAAGAGAGAGAGAGAGGGGCAGGCACTATGAAAGTAAAGTGTCTTTCCAAAGCCACAACGCAGTTGTTTGTCAGGATCACACCCACACCCCTAAATCTGGAGACCAGCGCGTTGTCGCCATTACACTATCAGGTCTTCTAGACGATTACTTCTCGTCTTACCGATGCATAAACTTTACTGATGGCGGCCTCCAGTTGAAAGTCTGTTGCCCCTTGATCCATGTTAGCACTCAACATGTACGCCATTGACTGGAATGAGGAAAGACGATGATGAAATTTGTTACACAGCAGAAAACAACTGAAGAAACATTTCCAGCGGACCTTGATTTTCGACCTCAAGATCCCCAGTACAAAATATAGTTCGCCTTGAGATAAATTTTAAAATACTCCTTTTAAGGGTCTCTCCTGTAAACAGGGTAAAATGGACCTGGTTCGTACTACGGGACATTAAATTTTTTTTCTTTGTTTGTTTGTTTGTTTGTTTATTGCATTGGGCTAGCTTTTTGTCTCTTAATGTTATAAAACTGACAAGACCCCCACATTCAGTATGATATAAAACAAAATATAACGGCTACTCGCTCATTGTCATTTCTCGCGCTTGGGGCCAACGTATTACCTTTGCTCTCAATTGTCATTGGCTTTATGATTGATATATTTTGTGTCGAATTATAGGATCAAGTTTGCTTGTAACTTTATATTTTTCTTGTTTTTGTTTTGTTTTTTAATTGGTTTTGCTTTGCTTCCCCCCTTTCTTTTTTTTTTTTTTTTCAAGTTGACAAGCACTCAAATGACTCATTCTTAAAATTACCTCAGTAACATACTGGCACATGGCCATCCGGGCAAGCTTCTCCTGGATAACTCCAAACTTCTCCAATTTACTTCCAAATTGGACTCTGCTCCCAGCATGATCAGCCTTTGACAAAGAAGATTTTAAAAAGCCAGATCAAAAAACACTAAATTGTCATTCTCTGTTCTCAACAAACACATCAGTTCTGTGGATCGCCACCCAAGGACCAACTGTTTACATCATGAAAACTCCCTTTGTAACAAAAATTGAGATGACACGACTATACAAGTACAGGTACAGGTGCATGCTACATAGCTTCTTTATCGTGACAGTGTTTATACATGTACCAGACACTGTGCCCTGACAGCATTCGTATGAGTGTTTGTGCACATAATTCAACACCACTATTGCCATTCTTGATCCAATCATCATTCTCAAGGTCATGGACCATACATCTCCATAATTAGAAAGGAACGTGGGCAAGACTTGATCACAAAGAGCACAGTCAAATAATGATGTTCTGTTGCTCAATCCAAGCAGTGGGAAACAAAATGAGATTACACAGGCACCGCAAATTTCATAATCCTTCGCACTCCCTCCCAATGTATCCATGGGTAGATTAGGATTTTCTAAATTTTCTCTACGAAGCAATAAATACATAAATAATGAAATACGAACCGCTTTCATGATAAGTCCCTTCATGGTGCCTGACAAAGCAGCAGCCATTCCAAATCTTCCATTGTTAAGAATGTGCATAGCAACCTTGAACCCATCACCAACATCTAACAGGAATATAAAAAATTTGAAAAAAATTAATATTCGAATGGAGGATCAGGGCTTGAGACACTTCAATAATCTTGATCCACAGGTTTGAGGAAAGTTTGATTCTTGCAGGCAAAAAAATAGCGATAGACAGACAAAGTGCTTAGCTTGCTCGCACATATGCAAATAATTTCATATCAGAGAGGACTCGTGCTCTGAGATTGGTCGTTGTCCATGGTTTATTGGAGAAGAGATACACAGTCAGCCAACATTCAAGACAAACTTCTTCACTCAATCTTCTATTTTTCCTTAGGTGACACAGATTTGGAAATCATTTGTGTTCCACAGTTAAACAAACACCTCAAAAAAATCAAGTAGCTTTGTGAAATAAGTCATAGGATGTCTACCCCGCACTTACTTCCTAGTACATTTTCCATTGGTACTTTGACATTGTCAAAATAAACCTGTCACAGCAACAAAAAGAACAAAAACTATTTTGAACAAGTTTGTCACAAAGATGGAAATTACAAATGGCACTCTTAATTAATAAGAGCAGGTTTAAAATCAGCATACTCCAAAAAGGAAAACAAAAATAAATACTTAAAAGTGACTAATGAACTACCATAAGTGGGTAGCATTGTTGACTTCACCTGCATCTACAGCCTGTACCTGTCCCTGTGCCTGTGCTGTAAACATCAATAAAGATTCTTACCTCAGCAGTATTAGAAGCCTTGATACCCATTTTTTTCTCTGGTGGACCACTAAGAATAGACCAAACAGATACGATTTAGTCAGAAAAGAAATTTTTTCCTGTTGTTGTTTTCTTTCAAATGGTTCATATTTTTCCTTGCTGTTATGTATTTATTATAAGGTCCAAACAGCAACACTTGTCCTAACCATGCTTGCACACTCAGTGACTGTATGTCATACAGTACAGTAAATCACCAAGATTGTATATAGAGGCCAAAAAATATATATCAACTAAACGAATGGAGTATTAAAAATCAAACTGGTTTCTAGAATTTTAAACCAAGAAAAGTCAATCATGCTGTTTGCTTTCCTTAAACATGAAACATTGAGGCCTGCTGAACATGGAATTACAGTCTGTATACTGGATAACAATAACCACAGCTACTCCTTAACAAATTATAGTAATACCTTGACACCCCTCCAAAGCCTCTCTCTACAATAAATGCTGTCACTTTGTCTTTCATTTCACCAGTCTTTGGATCTTTCATTGGTGTCTGCACAAAAACAAACCATGATGTTTCTCAAACATTATATATGACTCCATACAAGACTTTGCTGATAACTGATCCTCAAAACCGTAAGGTAACATTAACATCTACATGTACTGCTTTTCATGGATCAAAAGAGGCTGACAACTTTCTTCATGTCTGTACAAAATGTAAGGTACAAATAGGGAAGGTGTGATGACGATGAAAAATAGTGATTTGTGCTAAAAACTCAGGCAAAAAAGAAAAAAAATTCTGAAACAAATTTTAGCAAAATATATCCCATTGTTCTTGCAGGTCTAATACACCAAAAATTATCCATGGAATCACTTGGCAAATGAATTCAAGGGATGATTGTTTCCATGTAGAGTGAAAACACTTTAACATTATATATTTTGACATCTAAAATAAAACACCTTTTAATATACAAACTGTACCTTGGCAAAGACAGTGAATATTTCTGCTAAGCCCCCATTACTTATCCTGGAGAAGATCAAAAGTTTCTACATGTGTTAAGATGTCTTAAATTGTACTTCTGCAAACCAATTTATGAAGATCCCACAGCTAACTAATGTTACCTTGAAAATAAACTGATGACAAACACAATATCAATTACAGCTCACAGCTACAGAATCATGTCTTCAGCAGTTGCAGTTCCACAGTGGTCTTATGCAGTTACATGGTTGTCATAAACACTTTTCCACTAGCTTCCTATTTAAACCCATTTACTCTTAAGTCTTCCAAAAGATAAGCTAAGATTGACACAGACAGGGAAGGTGTGTCGTATCCATCTTGTTCACACTGGTAGTCCATGTACAATCATGTTCACTCACCATATCTTGCCTCCATTGAGGATGAAATGTTTTCCATCTTTACTCAGCTCTGCCTGTGTTCTGATAGACTAAGACAAGAACAAATTCACTTTTATTTACCTACAGCATAGCAATCAAAGTTGTATATGTCTCCCCTTTGCAATATTGGAAAAAGGGAAATAAACACTATTCAATGTATCAGCAACTGATGAAATTGGGCGACCTCAACTTAAATTTTACACCATGAGAGAAAATGGTGTATTTACAACACTGGAATGCCAAGTGGTGACCTTCACAAAGAGGCACAGATATTCTGAAAATTGAGTCTAAAGTGGCCTAAATTTCCATCAGCCCAATTCATACATTGTTCATGTCTTTTCGGACATGTGTATATTAATTTTTTTTCTGGATATGAATGTAATCTTAAGAGTTTATTTATGAGGTTATAAAATTATTTAACATCAGCATCATACACAGGTACTTGTGTACACACCCCTGCATCTGATCCACTGCTTGGTTCAGTTAAACAAAATGCTGCCACTTTATCAGCAGTTGCAAGCTGTGAAAAGTTAGAGGGAAAAAAATTCAACATGGTTACACAGTCAGTACTATTCAAAACAAGACAATATCTTTAATAATCATTATGAGGCTAATTTACCAGTGAAAATGTATGCCATTTGTTTACATGGAAAGCACAAACAATACACAATCACGATGAAATGACTTACTGAGGGCAAGTACTTTTCTTTTTGTTCCTGAAGGAAAAAAAAAAGAATGAGTAAACTGTCAGAAAAACCACTTAGTAGTAGTCTCAGAATAAGGGGCCTAGATGCATGTGGTAAAGATGAACATGTTTACTCCTGGAATTTGTACTTGTGAACTACAGTAAATGTACATACCAACTACCCTAACCCTAAGCATTATATTGTAGGCAACCCTTTTGACTGTAATTTCAACTCCACTAATAGGGAAATCAGAGATCAGGTGTTTTTGTTTAAGAAACCAAAGCACCTCATTAGGATTTCTTTGTTTGCTTTGAGTAGTAATTACACAATAAGAGTACAATTATGAAATCACACAATTTTCTTACCAACTGTTAGTCATACACCTATTTATGTATTGAACAGCCAAAATAATCAGTTGTATGTATTGTCAAAATTTCAACATAACCCAATGTATGTTACACACAATAAACACACTTTTCTGCACAAAGTTCTGAGAAAATTCTAAATAATGTTCTTCATTTTTGTCCTACAATTTCTCTGAGGCCAGGACATACTGTATGTATTATCAACAATTCACGACATCCTTGTCAACCATTTTCTTATGCAGAGAGGATACAAGTTTACACTGTGCTTGTATGCCACTCACAGTTATCAAAAATGCAATGATGAAAACAGAAAAAAAAAAAAAAAAGAACCCTTGCATTTTGGCAAGGTTATCACATACACTGTCCTTAGATATTGCACTATATTCAAGCACACTGTACCTTGTTTCCATAGAGTAGAATTCCCTTAAATCCAATGGACTGATGAGCTCCAAGGGTAATTCCAACAGCCAGGTCATGGGAACCAACAATCTCAACTAGGCGGGCATACTGAAACACACATGCAAACAAGTGTTTTTGAGATTGAAAAATTATTTTTTGGGAATTTGAAAGCAAAAAAGAGTAAATATTCAGAGAGAAAAAAAATGGATTATCAGTCCAGTGATCATCAATGACTGCAATTTTGCTTGGACGACAAAAAACAAACAAGAAGTTGGAATAAACAGGTTACCTGTGTGTTGGTAAGTCCAAGGCCTCCCAAATCTGTGGATATCTGAAAATTTCAAAATCATGAATTTCTGTTCAGAACCACATACATCTACAAGCTTCTACTGTATACAGAAGTGGTCAAGAATGCTGACAGTCAAAAAAAAAAAAAAGACTATCATGATAACCAAATTTATCCAATTTATTACCTGAAGTCCAAAGGCACCCATCTCTCTCAGGCCTTCAAAAGTGTCATCAGCCACTTTTTCAATCTCATCATTCTTTGCTGGGTCATTGCTCTCCTGAACAATAATTCAACAAAAAGACAATGATACAGTTCTACTCTTTTGATTTACATGTCAAACACTATTAAATACCTGTACAGGCTGGTATATTTAATCTTTGGTCCACAGAAGTGAAATTTTGACACAGAATGGATACCCAAGAATGGGAAATTTGACTCTTGAAAACACGAGAAAATGTCTCATTCCCCGGAGGGGGGGTACTTTAGGATTTTCTGGGTGGGGATGTGCCACTGGGACCCTGGAACCCTTAACCTATAATAGAGCTAGTTCAGCTGAATTTTGCTACTCTATACTAGAGTAAACTCCCCAAACCCCCCTATCCTAGAGTAGCTGTTTTCCAGAAACTACTGAGGTCACTAGCACAGTTGAGCCAAAACAGAACCTTATACCACAATCGTTTCGCTCTCAAAGAAGGATTTATTTATACTTGTTCATTTTTTTTTCATCAAGTCCTAAATTTCAGGTTAACCTGATTGAATAAAGAACCATCATGAGTGTTGCTTTTCGGGTGCAACAGCAAAAAAACTCGACTTTCTAAATAACCTCTACTGGTACAGCTGAAACAACAACATATTTTATATACAAACTCTATAAGTACTATATTACAATGGTGCAACCTGTTCACTTCAGATATTTAAAACACCCTCTCTACATAAGCAAATTACTGATAACAAAACAGAAAACTAGAAGAACTACAGCAAAAGTCTGAAAGTGAACTAGGTACTTTAAACTTTACAACGCCAGTTCTGGATTCTCAATGATTTAAGTAAAATAATTACATGTGACCATTTTCGCTATATTATAGGGTTTATACTAAAAAAAAGAAGCACTTACCTTCTTTCTCTATGTTACAAAAAAGCTAGTCAACCTTCCTTCTTATATAGTCTCGAAGATAAGTACTAAATGAGTCCTAATTTTGGACGGGTTTTGGACACCGGTTTTCGATTTTCAACCCGGTATTCAACTTGGTCGCATTGCAAGTTACATGCTGAGCTCCCGGGCTGAGCTATGCCAAGTACGCACGTATGCCATTATAAGGAACAATAAATTGTTTAATTTTAACCAGTATTAAAACCACCAACTTCCTTCTGAATCCTGATTTTTGACAGTTTTATGATAGCCATCTATTGACACTTTCTTTGCTTTTATACTCCCAGGGCTGAGTTGCATAAATTTCAACTTGCCTATTTGATTTTTTTATATGTTTGAGTAGCAATTCCCCGTTTCCCTAGTCTAGATAAAATCTTCAACCAACTGATCAGTTTCCTGAAAAATGATACCCTATTCTAGACCCAAATGCTCTGATTTATATACCCTATCCTACAGTAAACTGCTTGAAAACCATACCCTTCAGAGCGGCACATACCTATATTGCCCATATATGGCAGTACCCCTCCTGGGCTCATTCCCCCAGTGCTCATTCCCCCTGGGCTCATTCCCCCCAACCACATGCCCCCAAATGTAGGGCAATCCATCAATAGGTGCATACACAGGGCTCGACACTAACTTTTCAACTTACTAGCCAAGTGGCTGGTGACAACTTAGATGTTACAACAAGTTTAGTTTGTTTGCCAGCCAAACTGGCTGGTGGAAATCGAAAACCACTAGCCAAAACTGAGTTTCTACTAGTCTGTGGCTAGTTGGCTACTGTTAGTGTTGAGCCCTGATACATCTAAGTCCAACTAAGCGACCTTAGTCTAAGTGGGATCCAGTGCTTTTACCTGAACCCCTATTCAATGTCACCAGCTATCAGAAGGCTGAAATGAAAACAGCCATAACTTACATATACTTACCTCAAAAAACTTGGACACAGGATCAACATAAGCTTTCAATGTGCTTTCTTGTTCAGAGTCAAGAACTATAATAAAGCAAAATTTAACCAGCTAAAGTCAGGCTGAAATATACAGAACACTATAAAATATGATGTGGTATAGATTCAGATTACTATTAATGATCAGTCTCCATAGTACTTAATAATAATAAAAAAATAATACAAAATTACATAAAAAATGGTCTCATCTCACCTTCTGGAAATGGAAACACCTGCTGTACATCAAGTTGACCTTTAAATAAACCCATAACGAATGACTTTGACTGAGCAGCCTAAGGGGCAGAGAGAATCATTAATCAGCTACATGTACTATCAATACATTTTACACAGATTTGTTTCTATTCAGTGGTGGGGGAACTGTTAAAGTGAAATATACATCTTGTGGTTACTGTGGTAATTCCAAACAAGCTGCTAGGTATGATACAATGTATGTACACATACTGGAAAAAAAAAACTCACTGTTTAATGCTATATTTGCCATGGATAGCCTTTTTCAGGTGACAAATCCTAATGTTTTTTTAAGGGGAGGTCACGTGTAATATGAACACTGCTCATAAAAACACACATACCTTGACATCTGTAGCATATTCACTCCTTCCATATTTTGAACTTAGGACTGTCACCCTGTCCAAACAAGAAATATTGCTGAAAAGCTCACACAAGGAAGAACAATGCTCAATTAAACTACCAAGAAAATCTAACAAAATCCTAGTGGCTTGAAATATGAATTGCTGAGAGTTTGCCACCAAGTTCACTGGTACGTTGAGAAAGCTACACAACTTTGCAGTGAAATGCTTCAACTCATCTGTGATAGTTAGGAGTAGAATAATACCATATTGAGTAAATCTACAGTTATATAGGGGGTTAAAAAAGCTGTCAAGACTACATTACTTGTAATTTGGATGCCTGGAAAAATGAAATAATTTAATTGAGCCTTCTAACTAACTTTTTATAACTTTTCTTGTTCTTGTTTCTATTTCAATTTGAAGAAGTCCCAACATTAATTTAATTTCGCAACTTGGATTGAAAACATCACGAACGCGAACCTTGACCGATTGGATCTAATTAGTAGGACAAGTCCAAACACACTTAGCTACAGTAACATCTACTTCAAAGCCCGTTTTCTCAAGTAATCATCTGAATATCTTATAATCAAGTTATAATCGTAAGGAAGCCAGCGATCATTTGCTTATGTAACAGGAACTACATTGAAGAACAACGAGTTGCGATCCTTACCGACTGACATCCAGAAAACTTTGGCTTGTTCTTGTTTTAGGTAAGTAAGAAAGACCCTGGGACAAACTACGGCATCCACAACGTAGCATTATTGCAGAAATACCGACGTGAAGTCTCCCTTTCCTCCTCTGAACTGAGTGTTAGAGAACTTCACTAAATTACTTCGCAATTTTCGCAATGTTGAGTAACGTAACAATCAAGCGAGCGGCTGCTAAGCCGTTCAAAGTCCAGCCCATATTTGACTGTTTGACGTCGATCTTACTCCTACACGTCGATCGAGTCCCTGGTTTTCCGGTTTAGTCGCGATTTTTTTTTCGTTTCTATTCGCTTTTAAATACCTTTCTCACTGCAAATAGACATAGCAACGAATTCCAAACGTTTTTAGATAGGAAAGCAACTGTGTTTCCACCAAAGGGATAAAAGTGTAACTCTCGTTACCAGTCTCCTTGCATATCTTGATTCTAGTGCTCGGGTCCCTTCGGTCAGCACGCCGAAGAACGTAGATTGTGACTGGCGAGGGTTGATATCCCAGTTTTATTTTCTTCTAGCACCCAAACGCTCAGAGGCCGACATTAGGGACAATTTTTCGTGATCCCAGACATTTTTCTGGATTTCACAAAGAACCACGTTCTTTATTTTTTGGTCAGAGTTAAAAAACGTTATTTGTGGATTGAATGATCATGATTTGATCTTTGATCGGGAGTTGCCAATTACTTGTACTTGTTTTTGAAACTTGAAAATGATTTCTATAAACAATTTAGGAATTGAACTGTAGACATTCATATGATCTCTTGAAAAGTTGTGCAAAGCTTAATCAGAAAAAAAAAAGATTTACCTCACGCCGGTCAATCTCGCTATAACGTACTCATTATAGTCGACAATGGGTTTGAAAAAAGTTTGGGTGACCCTCCTTCGGAATTTGCAATTTCGCTGTCATATACTAAACAGCTGAACGTGAAGAAAAAAAAATAGCCTGGTCGATCTTCTTGAGGATTCAAAGCCCAGACTTTCCCCCTTGATTTCAAATGCTCCGCCAACTGAGCAGAGTAAAACTGAGTCGACTTCAATTCAGTAATCAAACCTCAAATCTTTCGATTTTGCAGTCGGACGCTGTACCAGCTGACCCAATGATAGATATCTGCAATTTCGTGTTAAGCATGTTATTACGTTTGTTTCTTGATTGTGTTAACCATTTGCAAATGGGTATTTCCTAATCAGTTCTGCGAAACACATTTTCCGTTCGAGGTTGCCAGCGTTTCTACCGAGATCACACAAGTTTCGCATTTTATTTATTTTTTTTGCAAAAAGCAAAATATCAACAAAGAAGGAAACATATGTTATCTTAATTTCCCCAGCTTTCTTCCTCTCTCTCTTTCGGACCCTGATTGGGCTGATCGGGAACTCTCTACAAACCTAACTGTGTGACTGTATGAAATTCGCTACATTGATTTGCTCAACATATAAAGTTGATCTCCTTTAAAGCAAATAGAACGCTTGGCCTTATTCGTATCTATGATACTAACATCAAGAAACTTTTATACTGTTCAATTGTTCGATCACAATTAGAGTACGCTTGTGAACTATGGTCACCCTACACGTCAAAGGACAAACTATTGCTGGAAAACGTTAGCCCTTCGTCGGAGCGAATAGAGGAATTCCTCTATTCGCTCCGACAATGGGCTAACGCTCGAAACGTCAGCTTTTGTAATCGTTACGGTTGCCAATTTACCATTTCAACTTTGTTGATATATCCAAATTATTTCGTTACCCCCACCGACGCAGCCCCAAACAGTTTCTTTAGAAACTATCAGCCTTTATTCATTTTTAGATTTTTATGATGATAAAACCCTTTCTTATAATCTACCAAGTCGTGAGGGTGTAAGTTAATGAACCTATTCTTAAATTAACTTGGTTGTAAATAATATCATGTGATAATTAACAAATATTCACCGAACAAGGTGGTGGTAAGTGGTGGATATTTACCGAGCCGCTTTGCGGCTCGGTAAATATCCATCGCAAACCACCGACACTGAGCCAATCAGAGCGCGCCCTCAACGCTATGGATAGCGCTGAAGGCGCACTCTGATTGGCTAGTCAAACTCCGAATATCCTTTGCTATTTACCTCCAAGCAACCCGGGAAAAAATGGCGTCCCAGTTTGCATCCATGTCAAGCGAAGAAATCACTCAAATCAATTTTTGGTGGTGTATATTATCTCACTGTTTTAGTATATACTAAAACAACTATTCACCTCAGTGTCGATGGTTAGCGGTGGATATTTACCTCGCCGCTTCGCGGCTCGGTGTCGGTGGTTAGCGGTGGATATTTACCTCGCCGCTTCGCGGATCGGTAATTATCCACCACTAACAATCTCCACTTCGGTGAATAGTTGTTAACTATTTCCATTACTACTTTCACGATTATAATTATTACTACTATTTTATTAATATTTATCGGGGTTGAATATCAATTGGGCCATCATCCTGTTTTCTTCTCCAGTTGCTGATACTATTTTGTACGTGTAACAAATTCAATAAAGAAAGCCGCAAGCGATATGATTGGATGCTCGTTTCCGCCGCCTATATTTTCATCAAGCACAAATTGCTTTTGAGCAACTTTTATCAACTAAGCTGAGTCTGTCAACGAGATTCTTACCCAGTGCTAAAGATAACTACTTTCGGCTCACGATAATGAACTCAATTGGTCAATCAATTAATTCATGGCTCGATTTCAAAAACAGTCGCTCAATTGCTAAGCGTTTACAGACTTCTTGGCGTACTTTATTCTTCTTTGACAATTGCGCAGTGCTGATATCATTCTGCTCTGCGGTTTTTCCAAGAATAGCTACCTGTTTTGGTTCTGTTACTTTCTGCTTTCGTTTGTTTTTGTTTTTTGGACAAGAGTGAAAATCGCATAATTTTAGAAAAAAATAAGGGGAATGTGCTTCACTCCGGCTGCAGAGGAAATGGACTATCTTGCCTATGATCGCCAGGCTCAGGACCGAGGCTCGATGAAATTTTCGTTAAAAAAAAAAACAACAAAAACAACAACAACCACAGCAACAACGACAACAAGCACTGCAATGAGAACATCGAAATAAAATGTCAAACAACCAAACAAGTAAGATCATCTGACCATATATGATGATGCCGATCACAATTTGTATGCAGATAGTGCAGAATATTCTCGGCTTATCTTCTTCTGCTCTTGTAAAACCATTTGGATCAACGAAAATGAATACATAAAATAAAAAGATGACTATGACGAAAATGGCATGACATTGAGGAAAGCCATTTTATTTAATTTAAGAACAATGATATTTTTTGCCGCTAAAGGCAACATCCAAAGCTCTCAATGTCCCACCGTTTTGTCGCCAAGTTTTTAGATAAACAATAAAATGCCGGAAATCAGTGGAATTTTGATGCAGGTGCATATCAAACCTATATAACTTAACCTTGCAAGGTAATCAAGCGCTATCTTCCGAACAAATTTTTCATCTTGCCCACGCTGAAAAAGTCGTGTCCTAGAATGTCTTTCTTTACAGTTTTGGGCCGGAGTGAAATGGTTTTTACATCAAATTTCCCGCTGCAGGAATAGGTAAGAAATGGTTCAATCAAGGTTATTTTCGTAAATCGCCGTTTCCAAATGATGAGGTCTGCGAATGTTCAAGCCAACTTAGCGCGTAGTTTAAACGAAAACTATGTGTTTCTAACTATTTTCAACGATTTTTAACTCTCGAACCGTTTGTTATACATATCGAACTAGCAGAAAACGAAAGAAAAATTCATGTCATATACACTTTAATTGCAAACAGAATTCTGCTTTTCGGGTCTGATTTTCGCTATTGCATAAATAGCGCTCTCTACTGCGAGGATCGTGCATCATACGTATCTAATACCGCAGTTCAAATTATATGAACCTCATATGTACATTGTATCTGATTTATCATCACGGGTTTATTACGAATCAACTTAACGGCCTGCTCCCAGTTGGCTTGTTAGCTCAATTGGTAGAGCGCTGCACTAGTATCGCAGAGGTCAGTGGTTCGAATCCCGTACAGGCCTGATTTTTTTCAGGTCTGATTTTCGCTATTGCATAAATAGCGCTCTCTACTGCGAGGATCGTGCATCATACGTATCTAATACCGCAGTTCAAAATATATGAACTTCATATATTCATTGTATCTGATTTATCATCACGGGTTTATTACGAATCAACTTAACGGCCTGCTCCCAGTTGGCTTGTTAGCTCAATTGGTAGAGCGCTGCACTAGTATCGCAGAGGTCAGTGGTTCGAATCCCGTACAGGCCTGATTTTTTTCAGGTCTGATTTTCGCTATTGCATAAATAGCGCTCTCTACTGCGAGGATCGTGCATCATACGTATCTAATACCGCAGTTCAAAATATATGAACTTCATATATTCATTGTATCTGATTTATCATCACGGGTTTATTACGAATCAACTTAACGGCCTGCTCCCAGTTGGCTTGTTAGCTCAATTGGTAGAGCGCTGCACTAGTATCGCAGAGGTCAGTGGTTCGAATCCCGTACAGGCCTGATTTTTTTCAGGTCTGATTTTCGCTATTGCATAAATAGCGCTCTCTACTGCGAGGATCGTGCATCATACGTATCTAATACCGCAGTTCAAAATATATGAACTTCATATATTCATTGTATCTAA